CAAGTGTGGTACTTTTACAATATTGGCCTTGTACATAACAGTAAGGCCACCCACATCCCTCCTGTGTTTAAGGCTCTACTGAAATGACAGATCTATCCAGGATTGGTCGAGGCGAGAGATGGGACGTTTTGCTCTGTTCTCTACTCTGTCAAGCAGTTGCAGATGAGAAGGGGGGCAGGCGAATCAAGAAAATGGAGCATACTCAGGGTGTGAGCATACTTGTGCCTCGTACAAAATCTTGCAACCCCTGCTGTCAAGCAGATGCAAGATATGGCGAAGTGCTGTAAGCTTCCTGGCTGCCTTGTTTGCAAGATTTACAATGTGGTTTTTCATGGTCAATTTGGAGTCAAATTTCACCCCAAAGATATCAACTTCTTCCCCAGGTGCCAACACCCTCCCATTCATTCTTACTACTGCACCAGCATTACCATCATGGTGCCTGGAGATCATCATCATTTGTGTTTTCTTGGGCACAAATGTTACTTGCCATCTATTTCCCCAAGCTGATATAGCTCTGAGCTGGTGATTGATGTAGCTTAGAGCAGCTGGCATTTCTTCTCTTGGACAAGTGAATGTCAGTGTACAGTCGTCTGAATATGCATGGGATTCTGGGATGAGATGAAGAAGGTCATTGAAGTAGACATTCCATAACAATGGTCCCAGAACTAAAACTTATAAATAATGTACAGATCGAAGAAACGAGATGAAAAATGATGGCAGATCTATTGTTAATATTTCCTGGAAATATGATCATAATGATTTTACACTTTGGTCACAGTTTTTTGCTCTGCAGACTACAGTGAATGTAAAGAACATAGGTTCTTGTCAGCAGATGGGTCTGGGAAAGGTGAGATTAATCATACATGTATTAGACGAGGGGAAAAAAAGTGGGTGGGATGATGAGGCAAAGGACCTTACCTATGGAGGCAGAGAGAGGAATGTACTAGTTGTTTCTTCAACTGTACCAGCACTATTATATAGTTGTGAGGCATTGTCAACAGTGTTAGTAATTGGCATTTGTGTAGCCCTGTATAGACTTTTGTAATACATGTACTTGGAATGCATAATTGTTGGTATGCCATGATCCATTAAAGCCAAACATAGCATTCTCATTGTCATAAGCTCCCTTCTCCCATGTGCAAGTTATTTGTGTAAGTATCAAATGTAGACTGTCTGGTGTCATTGCCTTTAGAAAAACATTGTCATTTTAGAACATATTTTTTTTTTCTCTGAAGTTTGTGACATACCAGCATTTAACTTGAGGTCTCTTTGACAGTTAAAGGGTTAATATTAATATTAATAAGGGAAAACCAGAATGAAGAGATTCTGCTTTGGAAAACCTTCAGGTATATAGGTACTGCCAGAAAACTATTGGTTTATTGAATTTAATTATGTAATTATAATACGTACATTGTAAATTGTGCTTGATGACAACTCGACAGTTTAATCATTACTTCAAACTTGAAACTGTTTCAACTTCATTGTTTTAAATTATGCTAAATTGTAATACTGTGGGACTACACATGTGCATCTACGTTGGCTGATACCTATCTCCAGGGAAGAAGGAGGGGCAGCTGCCAGCTTCAGGGAGTTCCAGAAGTCTAGAAAATATGGAGAACTTGCCCATCATTATATGTTTGTTCCCATAGGCTCAGAGACCCTTGGCTCATGGGGTAAAGAGTGCATCTAAGTTCCTTAAGGAGCTAGGCAAAAGACTCATCAGGGTAACTAGGGATCCCAGGGCAGTTAGTTTTCTGTTCCAGCGACTCAGTGCTGCTGTTCAGAGGGGTAATGCTTGCTGTATTTTGGGCACGCGCCCCAGTTCTGAAGAGCTGGATGAGATTTTCGCATTATAATCAGTGACAAACATGTAGCAATATGTACTAGACATTATCTCTCACATTTCATGTACTGTATATGCCATCTGTATATCAAAACTGTAATTCATCTCTACCGAACTTATTAATGCCATATAGCATGAACTACTTGAATATTCAATTTTCTTGTATTCACTGTAACTCGCGTAATGGCCATATGTACAACTACAGCACTGTTATTGCCTTATTAATCTTAAGTTAGTCTTAAACTTGCCTGAAATGCACTACATATGAAGGGGCTTTTGGGCATGTTCACTCAATTGTTACACTCCTTTGTACAAACATGTATAATACTAAAATAAAAATCGTTGTTTTTGTTACTCCTCAGTAAAAATGCTGGATAATGAAATTTAGTATATAAGGAGCAAAGGAGCACTGCCAATTTGTGGTGTTGCTTGTTGAGTGCTTAATCTATCATACTATTTTAAAATTTCCATTCTAGTTGAATCACTTCCCCCCCCCCCTTTTTTTTTTTTTAACAAACCAGCTGTATCCCACCAAGACAGGGTGGCCCAAAAAGAAAAACGAAAGTCTCTCTTTTTAAATTTAGTAATTTATACAGGAGAAGGGGTTACTAGCCCCTTGCTCCTGGCATTTTAGTCGCCTCTTACAACACACAGGAGGAAGAATTTTGTTCCACTTCCCCATGGAGATAAGAGGAAATAAACAAGAACTAGTAAGAAAATAGAAGAAAATCCAGAGGGGTGTGTACATATATGCTTGTACATGTATGTGTAGTGTGACCTAGGTGTAAGTAGAAGTAGCAAGATGTACTTGAAACCTTGCATCTTCATGAGACAGAAAAATGAACACCAGCAATCCTACCATCATGTAAAACAATTACAGGCTTTTGTTTTACACTCACTTGGCAGGACAGTAGTACCTCCCTGGGTGGTTGCTGTCTACCAGCCTACTACCTATACTTCTTTCTTTCAACACACCGGCCGTATCCCACCGAGGCGGGGTGGCCCAAAAGGAAAAACGAAAGTTTCTATTTTACATTTAGTAATATATACAGGAGAAGGGGTTACTAGCCCCTTGCTCCCGGCATTTTAGTCGCCTCTTACAACACGCATGGCTTACGGAGGAAGAATTCTGTTCCACTTCCCCATGGAGATAAGAGGAAATAAACAAGAATAAAAACTAGAAAGAAAACAGAAGAAAATCCAGAGGGGTGTGTGTATATATGTGCTTGTACATGTATGTGTAGTGTGACCTAAGTGTAAGTAGAAGTAGCAAGACGTACCTGAAATCTTGCATGTTTATGAGACAGAAAAAAGGACACCAGCAATCCTTCCGTCATGTAAAACAATTACAGGCTTTCGTTTTTCACTCGCTTGGTAGGACGGTAGTACCTCCCTGGGTGGTTGCTGTCTACCAGCCTACTACCTGTACTCCCTTCTTATATGAAAAAAAAAATATACATCATCCTTTTGACCTGTTTTTTTAAAACTTCCCATTGATGGTACTGAGAGATTGTATTTTACATTTTATAGCCTTGTGACCAAAAAGTGATTATCAAATCCCCTTGTTACTTCTATTAGCCAACAAGGCCATTTCTTTTTAGTACATACTGTATATTTATCCTTTTTGTATACTAAATACTATTTTTAAATTTGGAAGGTATTTTATAGTCCCCCTCAGCTTTTTCTGTCTTATGGACCTGTTTGTATTCTTAATTTGTGCACTACATCACTTGTGTATATGTGACCAGCTTTTTTTTAAGCATTACAGTATTGGGGTCTAACTGCATTGTCTGACCATTCATTGTTTCTTGCATAATTTGTTTTTCTACTATACATGTAGTAGCTTAATGTATCAGATATATAAGAATTTACTGATGAAAAGTTTGTTTGTTAGCTGGCAGGTTTTTATGTGCATGCATTTATGTTTGACTCATTCATCTAGATGTCGTTTAAGGTATGATTAATGTGGATGTGTGTGTGCTGTAGGGCACCCAAGATGTTTATTTCAATAACTGAGTGACGATTCTCCAAGAAATATGTAGTAGAATATGTATGCTGTGCCAGTGAAGTATGTACAGAGGATTTCCCAAAAAGATAAACTAATGTGTAAGGAGAGAGGCTAGAAACTGGAAAGTAATGCTGTGAATGTGTCAGTCTGCTTTACTTGATAACATTAAATGTTTGAGAGGATGAATATAGAGTAAAAGTAAAGTAAAAGTAAAAGATTTATTTCTTCATAGAGGTTACAGTGTGTAATTACAATTTTGGTTTGCTAAGTACAAAGAAAGCCACTATCATGCTGGGGTATTTCAGGCATTAAAATCTTTATTTAATCTTGATACTAATGCGAGGTAGTCAAGGTGGAGGGTTATGAGAATAATAATCTTGAAGTTGCACATAGTAAAAACAATATTACAATTAATGGTTCAAGCAGTAATATTTCATGGATTGGCAGATGTTTAATAGATTAGAGGTCATATAATAACTGATTTGAAGTTATTTTGGTTGGTTTGGGGTTTGGTTAGTATTGAGAGATGAGATGATTTTTAAGCATAGTTCTAAATTTATAAGTAGTCAGGGGATCCTTTACTCGTTCAGGTAGTGAATTCCAGATCTTCGAACCCTTTATTTGCATTGTATTTTTGCACAGTATAATGCACAAAAAGGGCCCAAAAATCTGGAATTCACTACCTGAACTGGTAAAGGATCCCCTGACTACTTATAAATTTAGGACTTTGCTTAAAAATCAGAGAAGAAAATAAGGGAAAGGAGACAACTGAGTAAGTAGCTCATGATTTGATGACTTCTACTCAAAATGGAAAAGGAGTAATTAAGATTTAGGGCTACTGGAAAATGCCCAAACCTTTCTACTGAAGGGAATCATTGAGTATATATAGTTGTCTTAAAGCTTTACAGTAAAGGCCAAGTGAAGTACAGTTGCCATGACCTGTTTTTTATACACAGAAGCAGCATAATAAAATTTCAAGTAATTGTATTTTTGGGAAAATGCTGAGACAGTGTTAAATTTGATACTACAGATGTTTTTTTTAGGTTACATATGATATTTATTTTGAAGGATTTTTAAGCAACATTATTTGATAGAATACTGTCAGCTTCTTTTTATTTTATTTAATTGTTTTATTTTTTATATTTTTAGGAAGCAGTGGCAATGATAGTGGAAGTGGAAATGGGATGTCTGGAATGTCAGGCATGCCAGGAATGTTTGGCATGCAGAGCATGGGAAGCGATAACATGTTGCCCCATGATGTGCGACTGGCAGAAGAATTTATGAAGCTCCAACAGGATTTCTTCAAGTGGCAACAGCAACTTCTGCAAAACCAACATGTGCTTCATAGTAGAGTGGCTCCCCTTGCTTCCAACCCTCCACAGCTACAGAGTGTTGGGGTCAGTCTAGTGTTATAAATATTGGTAAATTTACAGATAATGTTAGGTAAGAGAAAAGAGCCACTAATGAGACAGTGAAGTAGTGAGTGAGTAACATGGCCACCAATTTCGGAGAGGCCACCCTCCTGGGCTTCCAGCCAACCCACCCCCTTTCCTCTCCCATGGCCAAGGCTGGGACCTCCTCCATGGCTCGCTGGCTACCCACCCACCACCGTACGCCTTAACAACCCATGTTACCTCTAACAAGCTGACAGTTCACATTCTAACAACATAAATAATAAATCTACAGTTCTTGACTAATCTTCCCCCCCCCCCCCCCAAAAAAAAAAAAATAAAAGTGACACAAGTATGAATCTTTCTTTCTTTCAACACACCGGCCATATCCCACCAAGGCAGGGTGGCCCAAAAAGAAAAACGAAAGTTTCTCTTTTAAATTTAGTAATTTATACGGGAGAAGGGGTTACTAGCCCCTTGCTCCCGGCATTTTAGTTACCTCTTACAACACGCATGGCTTACGGAGGAAGAATTCTGTTCCACTTCCCCATGGAGATAAGAGGAAATAAACAAGAACTAGAAAGAAAATAGAAGAATGCCCAGAGGGGTGTGTATATATATGCTTGTACATGTATGTGTAGTGTGACCTAAGTGCAAGTAAAGTAGCAAGACATACCTGAAATCTTGCATGTTTATGAGACAGACAAAAGACACCAGCAATCCTACCATCATGTAAAACAATTACAGGTTTTCGTTGTAGAGTCACTTGGCAGGACGGTAGTACCTCCCTGGGCGGTTGCTGTTTACCAACCTACTACCTAGGACAAGTATGAATATATTTGGTAAAAAACTAAGTGAGGAGAAACTATGTGGAATTGGAAAAAGTCTGAGATCGCATATCTCTGTAGTACATGTTATAATGGGTTTGCAGTATGTGATTTTGGACATTTATCACGTAGTGAGGTACACCTGTAACTAGTTTACAAGAAAGAAAAATATGATCTGAGTTGATACATCACAGAAATAAAGTGGAATAATATAGTATTAAATTGGAAAGGTATAAGCAAGTTATTTTTGTACAGGTTCAGTTTTTGCAAAAAAAGCAGTAAATCAGTATGGGTCATTCAGCACCACATATAACAAGGTTTGCAGTATTTATGAAAATGGATTTGTTTTTCCCATTGAAAAAAAAAAGTAAAAAAAGTGAAACTAAATTTGTTTGCAGTCAGTGCTTTATTTTGTGGCTTAACCCATTCTTTGAACATGAATTAATGAACCAAAATAATGAATGAAAAATAAACAAGCAGTCAGTAACGTTAAGTTTTAACTCTAAATTAACTTTCATCATATATAATGACAGTTGGAGACAAGATGGTTGTCAAATCCCATGCTGTCAGGTGGCTTTCACTCTTTTTCTTTCAACAAACTGGCCATATTGAACTGAAACAGGGTGACCCAAAAAGAAAATCAAAGGTTTCTCTTTTTAATTTTTAACTGCCAGGTCCCATGGCCTGGTGGCTAAAGCTCTCGCGTCACACGGCAAGGGTCTGGGTTCAATTCCCGGCAAGGGTAGAAACATTGAGTGTGTTTCCTTAAACTGGTTGTCTGTGTTCCCCATCAGTAAAATGGGCACCTGGGTGTTGGTCGACTGGTGTGAGTCGCATCCTGAGACAAATCTGACCTAATTTGCTCGAAATGCTCTGCATAACAAGCGGCTTTCTGTATATTAGTATGTCATTGATGTCAGCTAGGCCTGTTTACCTTGTACATGTACTTATAGAAATAGATATTATTATTATTATTATTCTTTCAGCAAACCGGCTATATCCCACTTACGCAGGGTGACTCAAAAAGAAAAACAAAAGTTTCTCTGTTTAACTTTAGTAATGTATACAGGAGAAGGGATTACTAGCCCCTTGCTTCTGGCATTTTAGTCACCTCTTATGACACACATGGCTTATGGAGGAAGAATTCTGTTCCACTTCCCCATGGAGATAAGAGGATAAAAACAAGAACAAGAACTAGTAAGAAAATAGAAGAAAACCAAGAGGGGTGTGTGTATATATATGCTTGTACATACATAGTGTGACCTAAGTGTAAGTAGAAGTAGCAAGATGTACCTGAAATCTACAGTAGTGTATATACTTATTGATAATTTGATTACTGTTTTGTAATTTCCTGTTTGGAGCATCAGAGGTAGAGTTATAGTTGTGGTGTCATGTCTTCAATATATTGTTTTACTTCATGTATTGTACTCTCCTATTTGTAGATGCAGGAGTTGAGTTTCATCTGTCTCTACCACTTAACATGCAGCTCTTGCTCTTTCCTATCACTGGAATGCTGACTCAGAAGTTAGGTTATATAGAATTATGTCGGTAAAAGTAGGATTGCAATTTTGTCAGTATATGGAATAATCACTTTGCCTCTATTTATTTTTTGTTACTATTTAATGGTAATTAATAATAATTATTAAAATTTATCCTGAAGATAAGTACAGTACCAAAATACTCTGTATCAAGATATTTTCTGACTGCAGAGAGATTATAAATATGAACATTACGAGATTTAACAGTTGGGTTTAATGTTTTCAACAAATAAAGAATCCAGGTTGACTCTTAGAATCTTCACTGATCCCATAGGCTGCAAACTGACAGTAACATAGTTGAAGGCCCCAAAATCTACAGTCTATATTTTTCTCAAATTTCCCCAGATAATAAACAGTTTTACCCTCATTTAGTTTTTCTATTTGTCATTTAAGTCCAGATTTCCAGCAAAAGAGAACTAAGATGATTTTGTGTCTTTCACGTTCAGAACCTGGATGTGACAGTACAGCCATAATATATTGCCTGTTTACGTTTCTAATAACCAATTCTCAGGATTTTTTTTTTTTCACAGGTTTTGCGCGACATAATGTCTCAGTCACCATCTACTAATGTAGGTCCTGAACTTGTCGAGGCACGTAATCCTTCTGTAGAAAGAAAAGGCCCAGTTGAGAGAGTTATTAATATACAGTTTGAAGATGGCCCAAGAGAGACAGATGATTCTCAGGTAAGTTTTGTATTTCAAAAGGTATTTTCTACATGCTTCTTTATTATATAGTATACATCTAACCCTGTTATTTGGTAAAACCAAGATTGTTATTTACATAAAACAAAAACTATAAGGGATCAAAAAAAGGGGTATAGAAGCTACCATTCTCTACAGAAGTCTCCTATGTATATATATCATGGTCAGTGGTCATGAAAGGTCATCCTTTTCTAGCTGTCTGGGGGATTAGTAGTATGGAGCATTATAGAGCACCATGGCTTGCTGTAGTGTTTTGGAATCTCAGGTTAAAGTGTTGAAGGAGGAGGTTCAACTTCTTCAACAGGAATATAGGAGGCTGAAAATTTGCAAAGGGTGGAGTCAATATGGAGGAAAAGGTTACCAACAGTGAGTTGAAAAGTGGCAACTGCTTCAAGTGGAATGTGGTCTCTACTAAAGGTAGAAGTATCAAGATAAGGAAGCTTAAAATAGAAGATCTGAGGGTAGGAAATCGATTTTCTCTTCTCCAGGATGAGTGTACCTCAGTGGTTAGTGAGGTTAAAGGTACCACTAACTCCCCTGCTAATTAAGGTAAGAACATTCTGGTTGTGGGTGACTCACAAGTAAGACATGTACTGTGCTTTCTGTAACAGAGGTAGGAACCACCAGGTGGTGGTGGTGATGATACTATATTATCACCAACAGGTTGGATAATATTATGTCAGGTAATGGAAACAAGCCCATCATCTGTCTTAGTGCTGCTGGAAATGATATCAGGAAGGGCAGGAAACAAGAGCCGCTGGATAAGTACAAGTCAGCTATAGATGTAATTAGGTCTAAGGGAGGAGTCCCAGTCATGTGTAGCATCTTGCCTAGAAGAGGAGTGGGCAGTGAATGGATGTCTAGGGCAATTGGTGTAAATTGCTGGCTAGACAGGTACTGCAAGGAATTTGCAGTCCCATTCATTGATAACTGGGAAAAATTTTATGGCAAACATGATACGTATGCAAGGGATGAGCTACATCTCTCAGGGGCTGGAGTGGTTGCAGTAGCCAACTTGATTGAGTGAGCCATTGCTGACTTGTCTAGAACTTTCAACTGGTAGATTATAGAGGTATGGGTGTGTGTGGGAAACAATGAGGCTGCAGTACAAGGGTTGAAAACAGCAGATATTACCAAGATACCTCAGTTTGGTTTGGTCATTTAGAGAGAAAGGATCAAAGTAGAATGACATGGAAAGCATATAAATCTATAGGGGAAGGAAGGCGGGGTAGGGGTCGTCCTCGAAAGGGTTGGAGAGAGGGGGTAAAGGAGGTTTTGTGGGCAAGGGGCTTGGACTTCCAGCAAGCGTGCGTGAGCGTGTTAGATAGGAGTGAATGGAGACGAATGGTACTTGGGACCTGACGATCTGTTGGAGTGTGAGCAGGGCAATATTTAGTGAAGGGATTCAGGGAAACCGGTTATTTTCGTATAGTCGGACTTGAGTCCTGGAAATGGGAAGTACAGTGCCTGCACTTTAAAGGAGGGGTTTGGGATATTGGCAGTTTGGAGGAATATGTTGTGTATCTTTATATGTGTATGCTTCTAAACTGTTGTTTTCTGAGCACCTCTGCAAAAACAGTGATAATGTGCAAGTGTGGTGAAAGTGTTGAATGATGATGAAAGTATTTTCTTTTTGGGGATTTTCTTTCTTTTTTGGGTCACCCTGCCTCGGTGGGAGACGGCCGACTTGTTGAGGAAAAAAAAAAAAAAAAAAAAACTCAGGGATATGTTTAATAGACAATATTCAAAATAAAGTTGCTAGTAAAGGCAAAGCATTTGATCAACAAAGAGAGACAGTAGAGAGAAGAGTGACTAGCTCCTTTAAGGTTTAGTATACATGCTAATAGTAGGAGGCTAAGAGATAAGATAAATGAGCTAAGAATACTTGCATGTGCAGGTAATGTAGAGATTATTGCTATAACGGACACATGGTTCAACCTGAGAGATAGACGTGCCTGCTGAATGCCACATACAAGGCTATAAACTATTCCACAGTGAAAGGGTCAACAGGAACGGTGGTGGAGTGGCGATGTATGTCAGAGATAATTTAAATTGCTGTGTTAGGCAAGATATAAGATTAGAAGCATCGAACACAGAATCTGTATAGCTGCAGTTTGTTGAGGGTCATGACAAATTTATTTTGGGTGCGATTTGAAGCTCCCCAAATCTTGATAAGGGGGTACAGTAAGCTGCTATAGGACAGAATTCATAAGGCTTCTAGATAAGAAAATGTTGTGTTAATGGGAAATTTTAAATTTAGACAAATTGATTGGAACAGTATGACAGGAAATCTTGAGTCTAGTGACTTTTTTGATATGATTCAGGATTGCTTTTTAAAACAGTTTGACAGAACCAACTAGTGGAAACAGTCTACCTGACTTCGTTCTTGCCAACAAGGAATCACTAATTAATAATCTTGAGGTTAATGATGAGCTTGGGAAAAGCAGTCACAAATCACTTTGTTTCAGTATATCATGGAATTACTCAAATAACTGCAATCAAGTCTCTGTCTAAGGGCAATGTGTGGTGTGAATATTATGCAGAAAATTTGGGGTGTGGAAATTAGGAGAAGGTGTGGAGTAATAAAAGTATTAGAGGGTGAAGAGGGTTTTGAGTGGTTGGTCATTAGAAAGAATTGGATCAATTGAATACATGAGAATATAATGTAGGAAGCAAGTCAGGTAGGGGTGTCCTCGATGGAATTGGATGGAGGGGGAAAGGGGTATTGTGGACAGGGCTGACTTCCAGCAGGTTGATGGCGTGTTAGATAGGTGATGGAGAGAATGGTACTTGGACTGACGATTGTGATGTGAGCGGCATATTTAGAAGGATTTCAGGGAAACGTTATTTCGATAGTCTGGATTGGTCTGGAATGGAATAATGCCTGCACTTTAAGGAGGTTGGGAAGGCTGTTAGAAAATGTTGATGTATCTTTATATGTTATGCTTCTAAAACTGTTGTTTTCTACCCTAAAACGTGATAATGTGCAAGGTGGTGAAAGTGTGAATGACTCATAAGTATTTTCTTTGGGATTTTCTTTCTTTTTGGGTCACCTAGCCTCGGTGGGAGACGGCGACTTGTTGAGAAAAAAAAAAAAAAAAACCAGGGTATGTTTAATAGACAATATCAAATAAAGTTTAGTAAAGGCAAAGCATTTGATCAACAAGGAGGAGACAGTAGGAGAAGAGTGATAGCCATTAAGGTTGTATACATGTAATGTAGGAGGCTAGAGTAAGATAAATGAGTAAGATATTCATGTGCAGGTAGTAGAGATTATTGCTATAAACGGGACACATGGTTCACCTGAAGAATAGGCGTGCCTGTGAATGCACATACAGGTATAACTTTCACAGTGAAAGGGTCAAAGAACGTGTGGAGATGGCGATGTATGTCAGAGTAAATTAATTGCTGTTTGGCAAGATATAGAGTTAGAAGATCAAAACACAGAATCGTATAGCTGCAGTTGTTGAGGGTCATGACAAATTTATTTGGGTGCGATTTGAAGCCCCAAATCTTGATAAGGGTGGTGACATGTAAGGTGCTATAGGACAGAATTCATAAGGCATTCTAGATAAGAAAATGTATGTGTTAATGGGAAATTAAATTAGGTGAATGAATGATTGGATACAGTATGGAGGAAATCTGGAGTCTAGTGATTTTTGATATTGGATGTAGGATTGCTTCTTGAAAACAGTTTGAAAAGAACAACTGAGTGGAAACAGTCTATCCTGACTTGGTTCTGTGCAGACAAGAACACTATTAATAATCTTGGAGGTTAAGATGGGCGATGTTGAGAAAGCATACCAAATCACTTTTATTCAGTGATCATAGGTGGAATTCTCAAAAACTGGACAGGAGTCTCGTCTAGGGCAATGTGTGGTGTGAATATTATGCAGAAATTTGGTGTGTGGAAATTAGGAGAAGGTGTGGAGTAAAAAAGTATTAGAGGGCTGAAGAGGGGTTGTTGAGGTGGTTTGGCATTAGAAGAATGGATCAAAGTAGATGACATAGGAGTGATATAAATCTGTAGGGGAAGGAAGGCGGGTAGGGGTCAGTCCTCAGAAAGGTTGGAGGGAGGGGGTAAAGGGGTTTTGTGGCGAGGGGCTTGGACTTCCAGCAAGCGTGCATGAGCGTGTTAGATAGGAGTGAATGGAGACGAATGGTATTTGGGACCTGACGATCTGTTGGAGTGTGAGCAGGGCAATATTTAGTGAAGGGATTCAGGGAAATTGGTTATTTTTATATACCCAGACTTGAATCCTGGAAATGGGAAGTACAATGCCTGCACTTTAAAGGAGGGGTTTGGGATATTGGCAGTTTGGAGGGATATGTTGTGTATCTTTATATGTATATGCTTCTAAACTGTTGTATTCTGAGCACCTCTCCAAAAACTGATTATGTGTGAGTGAGGTGAAAGTGTTGAATGATGAAAGTATTTTCTTTTTGGGGATTTTCTTTGTTTTTTGGGTCACCCTGCCTTGGTGGGAGACGGCCGACTTGTTAAAAAAAAAAAAAAAAAAGTCTCTGTCCCAGACTTCTGCTTGGCCGATTTCATGGGACTGAGAAATTACCTGGGTGAGCTAAATTGGAACGACAGGGCTATGGGTCAGGTAGGTGGTGTTGGTTGCCAATATGATGTTTTTCAGGGCATAGTTCTAGCTGCCCAGACAACTTATGTTCCAAATAGGGAAAATTTCAAAAGATGCCAATATCAAAATAGGGCTCAGAATAAACAAGGCAGACATTCCTTGCACTAAAATAGCATTTTATCTGTTCATCAGTCACATCTCCAGGCCTCTCTTATATTACTCTTGCTTTCCATTTTGAATTTTTATTCTTGCAAAAAATAGAAGATTTACTGTTATGCAGACTACTGCATTATTGTCAAAATGGTATAAATAATATCAGCGCACTTTTGAAAGACTATTAGATTCGCCAGTTGACGTGTATTGGACGCGTGGCATGATTTGTTTACTCTTGAA